AGACTCAGAACCCGCAGCGCCAGCACCCTCAGCAGCTCCAGAACCTCCAGCTTTAGCACCACCAGCGCCAGTGCCTCCAGCAGCTCCCGAACCTCTAGGCTCAGCACCCCCAGGCTCAGTACCTCCAGTAGCTCCAGAACCTCCAACTCCAGTACCCTCAGTATAAACAACTCCTGGGGCAGAGTCACCAGCTCCAGCGCCTCCCGCAGCAGGGCCTCTAGCTCCAGCAGTGCGGCCCTGACGGCCAGCGTACCACTCAAACAGCTGCTGTGGAGAGAGAGGGAGTCGATGACGAGAGTGTAGCGGCGAGGCACCAGCGGAGCGACTACGGAGACGGCCGCTCCCGGGAGACTGCTCACCAGACGCCTCAGTGCCCCCAGGCTCAGCACCACCAGTCTCCGCACCCCCAGGCTCCGCACCCCCAGGCTCAGCACCCCCAGGCTCAGCACCCCCAGGCTCAGCACCCCCAGTAGCAGCACCACCCTCAGCAGCACCTGAGTCACCAGTGACCTCAACCTGAGGGGGAGGGTCTACCTGAGACACACCTGAAGGAGCAGGACCGGGAGCGGGGAGGGGGTCTACCTGGGTAGCACCTGGAGCGAGGAAGAGCGGCGGGGGGGGGGGAGAGGGGCAGTGCGGTAGGGGAAGAGACGGTAAAAAGGAACCGACTCGTCGAACGTGACGTCCTGAGAGGGGAAGACACGGCGCGAGGTGGGGTGGTAAAACTGCCAACCAGGCGCGTCAGGGACAAAGCCAAGGAAGACACAGGGAACAGCGCGGGCGGAGAGCTTGTCCGCGGTGGTATCGCGGACAAAGGCACGAGCACCCCAGACCCGGAAACGCGACGCATCGCCAACCTTCCCCGTCCACAGCAGTGTGGGCGAGGTCTCCGGCAAGGAGACACGGGGCCAGAGGTTGAGCTGATGCGCGGCGTACCGGACCGCAAACGGCCATAGAAAATGGGGGGCCGCCGCATGGACCATGGAGGTACGAGCAACCTCCATGACCAAGCCAATGCGGCGCTCAGCAACCCCATTCTGCTGCGGAGAGGCCGGAAGCGTGAACGACTGGATGATGACGTGCTCCTCACAGAAGGCTGCCAAGAGGTCGGAGGAAAACTCACCACCTCTGTCAGAGTGCAGACGAAGAACGGGAAACTCCGTCCCGAACCGCTCGCGGAGCTGGAGACGAGCAGCGCGGATCCAAGGGATCAAAACATCAGGGACCTCACCCTTGGTGCGCAAGGGGAAGACCGTGGTGTAGCGCGTGTAGTCGTCGACGACCAGCAGGAAGTACCGCTCGTGGCCCTGTCCACGGACGCGGGCTGGGCCCCACACGTCCAGGTGGAGAGTCTGCAGAGGAGCCTCTGTGGGAGGGAACGAGGAGGAGTGAGGAGCGGCGCGCTGCCGCCCCTCGACACAGGGAAGACAGGGAGGAGCAGGCGAGGGTGGGAGGGGAGGGAGAACCCTGGGAAGACAAGACACAAGGACACGGCGGTGCATGCTGCGAAGGCGCTGCACCGAGGGGTGACCAAGGCGGTGGTGCCAAAGGAGGGTCTGGTGCGACAAGGCGCGACACGAGCAGGGGGCCGACAACTGACCTGACGCAGACGCAGCGACCTGAGGGGACGCAGTGGTCAGGGTGTACAGGCTCGAGCCAGGCTCACGGGTAAACGTGGCCAGGTGTCGGCCCGTCCGAGCACACGTACAGTGAGTCACCCGCTGACGCGCAGGAGTGAACTGGTCAACCCCCCCATCCTGGAGGTCAGCTCCACTCACCAGGTTCGTAGAGAACGAGGGGAGGTAGAGACCTGACAGCAAGCCAGACGGGGCGGCCGGACACGGCAGAACCGTGGTGTAGTGGGCAAGGACAGGACCCCCAGAGGGGTCTGCCAGGGAGACTGCAACCGGCCGACTAAGCGGCGTGAGTGTGGTGCAGTCGCGAAAGAAGGAGCGGGAAGCTCCTGAGTCAAGGGTGAAGGTGTGCAAGGGCGCAGCAGGCGAAGTACCAGAGAGAGCAGACTCACCAGCACCTGGAGCAGCAGCCTCACCAGCACCCAGAGCAGGAGACGCACGAGCACCTAGAGCAGCACCCTCACTAGCACCTAGAGCAGGAGACGCACTAGCACCTAGAGCAGCAGCCTCACCAGCACCTAGAGCAGCAGACTCTATACCTGGGTCAGGCGGCACGCACAGGTAACAGGCACGGTCAGCACTAGTAGGCAATGCATACATGGCAGTGAGAATAGCATCATAGTCAAGTGCAAATATGTCTACTCTCTGCGCAAGCAGCTCCACCCAGTCGGGGAGCTCAGCCTCGTCGCCAAACTCGGTACGCCAGGCGTCGCTCAGACGGGCGAAGCAGCGAGACTCTGTGTGACTAGGCGTCCCACAAGGCTGACCAGTCCGAGCACCAGTGCGAATGACGTAAGAGCAGCGAACAGAACTGATAGGCCCTCGACTCTGAGCGTACCACTCACGAAGTTGCTGGGGGGTGCGAGACTCGCGTGGACGACGCTGGAGCTGCATCTGGCCACCGCCAGTAGCAGTAGTAGCAGCAGTAGCAGCGCGGCCACCCCGACAGCCCCAACTAGCGTACCACTCACGCAGCTGCTGGGGCGTGAGGGACTCACGCGGACGTCGTTGGAGCTGCAGCTGGCCTCCGCCAGTAGCAGCAGGAGCAACCGTAGTAGAAGTAACAGCCATAGTACGTGCAGGGCAGGCGCGACAGGCAGGCAGGCAGGCAAGCAGGCGGCGCAGCAGCGCGCTAGCAAGGCAGGGGCTCACCAGTGGCGGGAAGAGTAGGCTCTCACTGGGCGAGCAGGGCCGGTGCTCGGCTGACGGCGGCAGGGTCGGCGCACGACGGCGGCGACAGAGGGGCCGCAGCAGCGGCTACAGCGAAGGGCCGGATCGAGTCAGCGGCAGGGCGGGGCCGGGTCGTGTGAGCGGCAGGGCGGGGCCGGGTCGTGTCAGCGGCAGGACGGGGCCGGGTCGTGTCAGCGGCGGGGCCGGGTCGAGTCAGCGGCAGGGCGGGGCCGGGTCGTGTCAGCGGCAGGGCGGGGATGGGTCGTGTCAACGGCAGGGTGGGGCCATGGCGGCGACAGGGCGAGGCCGTGTCGGCGGTAGGGTGGCGCGCGCCGCTGCCTGGGGCCGCGCACTGACGGGGAGAGCGCGGCGCGGGTCGCGTGGACGGCGCGCAGCGCGCCGCGGGCCGCGGACGCGCCGCGCGGGCTCTGTGCGGGCCGCGCGGGGCAGGTGTGGGCCGCGCGCGCGTCGCGCGGGCTTGGGGCGGGCTGCGCGGGTTAGCTGCGGGCCGCGCGCGCGTCGCGCGGGCTCGGGGCGGGCTGCGCAGGGCAGCTGCGGGCCGCGCGCGCGTCGCGCGGGCTCGGGGCGGGCTGCGCGGGGCAGCTGCGGGCCGCGCGCGCGCCGCGCGGGCTCGACGCGGGCCGCGCGGGCTGTGCGCGGGACGCGACGCGGCTGCCGAGGCGCGACTCGGGCAGGAGAGGGCGACCCGCGGGGGTAAAAACAGCAGCAGACAGCTCAGACAGCTCTGGAAAATTAGGTCTGCGTGCGAAGCAGCAGCAGACAGCTCAGACAGTAGACAGTAGACAGTAGGCAGACAGTGCGTGCAGGCACATTCGTGGGGTAGCGGTAGGTGGGCCCGAAAAAAAAGTCGGTCCTAAGGACCTACTGCTCTGAAACCATGTCAACAGTATAGGCAAGAATGATGACTAGGAAGCAAGGATGAGTACAAGTACTAGGTTTGACCTAATGTGTTGTACTCAGTAGAGGCTACCCCACTACAGCCTACACATGCAAATGTAATCTGACACTGCTTATTTATGAGTGCATGAGGGAAACGCCAAGCTCGTGGGGCACAGTTGGGATTCTCAAAGCCTAGCCACACTTCGGGGTAACTTGAGTGGTCAGATACTGTATGGGGGAGGGCTAAATGCGCGCGGGTAAGAATTCGTTGTGTCCAGGGTTTACTGAGGTATATCCTATCAAGCCTGGACTTGGAAGGTTCTCCAGACGCATCCAGGAGCGCGGATTCAAAGGTAAATACCGGTTCCTCTTGCTGTACTTCTTGGAGTGGGTCAACAAGGTTGTGTGTGTCCAGAATAGTAGCTAGTATGTTGCCTTCGGGGATCTCATATGCTGTCAGAGGACGGTTGCGGTCGGCGGGAGTGAGGACAGTATTGAAATCACCCATGACCAGAGTGGTGTCGCTGGGGGAGGGTGCTTCCAAGGCAGGTGTGAAGGTATTAACCCACCAGCTGCGTCGTGCGGGGTGGTAGGAGGGGCCATAGATGCAGATGCATCGGAACTGCTCCTGTAAGAAATTGAGCTGGGTTACCAAGAGGCGGCCATCAGCCGAGGTGGATCTGCTAAGTATGGTGATTTTTGGGTTAAAGATGAGTAAGGCAATTCCCCCAGGCGCCGCCGACCCATTGGACATAGTGGGCGGGGTTTGAGCGTAGGCAGAGGGTCGGAACTTATAGCGGAATTTAGTGAAGCTATTGGTTAGTCTGGTGTCTATGAGGACCAAGACATCAGGCAAGCTAGTGAGTGTTCCCTTAAGATTATCCATTTTTTCCAAGGAGTTCAGGCCATTGACGTTCATGCACGCTATGCGGATGGGTGTTAACATTTATAAGTACTAGGGAACCCCAGTGCACATCTGTGCACTCATCCACGGGGTGCGTTTAAAAGATCTACTCGTCTTGTTACCTTCTGCTTGCCACAGCGTTCGTTAGCTCCATGTATAACGACCTTCAAACCATCTGTTGTATATAGAATGTATAGTGAGGTTGGTATACATTTGAAGCCACATGAGATATATTTGCCCGAGTGAATTGTAGGTGAGCAGCGAACCATTGAGTTGGCAAAGAATGTTCCATCCGAACAACAAGCATATCAGAAGTAGGGTCAGCGCCGGACCCCATCGGCTTACAGATTCAGACACAAGCCTCATGCCCTCATCAGAAAGCATATCACCCATTACATCTCTGAGGCCAAGAAGGTGGCTATTTCTGCCCTCTCCAGCAAGGTATGCACTTTCTGATCCGCCAGAGTCTCCATTAGCAGCTGCTGTGTTTCCGACTGCATGAGGCGTAGGCCATGACCAGGCGAGTGGATGTGGTGAAAGGCCGAGTCGAGTGCAAGGCCGCACTCAAAGTCGCACAAAGCGCACGTCCATGTTTCGACGTCGTCGCCCAGTCTGATGTAAAGGACTCCGGGATCGGCCTTGATGGCCATGGGCACGGGAGACTGCCCCAGCAGCTTGCCTGTTTATGCACATAAACGTGGGCTCACAGCGCATAAGAGAGAATAAGGACGATTGGTGATATGTGCCCATGGTAGACCAGCGGCCTTGCACATAAGACCAGGATGATTGATAAGGAATGTCACAAGTGAGAACATGCGTACACAGTGAGGGCAAATAACCAATCCAAACCAAGTCCAGAGCCACGCTGGGAGCTGGAAAGAGCACTAGCGTACCATTGATGTTTTGAAGTTGACCAACAGAGATCTGGTACGGGTTGGGTAGACGCGAGCGACGGGTAACCGCGAAGCACGCGTGGTCCCGTGTACGATGATTACTCGTGCAGATGTCGCATTTATGGCAGGACAGATTGATGATGACCAGAGCAGTGACGTCAGGCAGCCAAAGTATGGCCGGGATGCGATCGAAGAGCTGGTCGTCCGCCTCTGGAATAGGGATTCCCATTATCTGGGGGTGGGACACATCCTCATATGCATCATGCACACGGTGAAAGGAGCGGATATCAGAGAGCCACCTCCGTTCCCCGTCACGGAGGCTGGTCGTGAGAAGCCGATGGATTCCCTCCAGAGAGTACCCCAGAGGGACGTTGCGCAGGACCAGATGAGGTTCGCCTCTCGCCTTTGCAGCGGTGTACGAAGGTTCCGGATCGTCGTAGACTTTGAGCTCCACCGACACGCCGTTGGCGGTGTAGGTGAGGGGAAAGGCGCGCCGGAAGCACCTCGCGTCTTCGTGCGTTGGGAGCTGGAAGATGTGGCGAGCGTATGAGCGGCGCGGCAGACGCAGGGTTTCTCCCGCCGAGGATTCGAAGTGGGGCACACGGCCGGAGTGGGGAAACTGCGATGCCCGTAGGCCGAGTCGCACGCGATTCACAATCTTGCTGCGATGATGTTCAGCGAGATTATCAGGGAACAAGATCGTTACGAGCGTAAAGGTGTCACGGACCAGCGTATCAACAACCACACCCACTATACCGCGGTTGCGGCGCAGACGTTGATGCGGACCGTTCAGCGATGTTTGCGGCAAGGAAATTGCTTCCGCCGCATTGAGCGTGATATCGGGTATGCCGTCAAACCCGGCGTCAGGTTCGGGCTGCTAAACAGGCACAGGTCGCGCGGAGGACGAAGCTTCTCCAGTGCAAACCTTCTTGGCAAGGGGGGGTGAGGATCCTTCATCAGGCATGAGATCACTCACGGAGGGAAGTTGGCCTCCGTTCTCAGCCATGACGGCGTCAAAGGCAGGAGGAACGGTCGTCATGGTGGGAGTGACAAAGATTGAAGCCCCTTGGTGGTGGTTTATGTAGACCGAGAGATCGTCCCATAAGGGATTCCAAAAACATAAGGCAAAGAACCCAGCGAAAGGCGAGAGCGCTTCGTGACGCGGCTCGAAGCACAGGCAATGGCCTGAGAGCTTACGAGATACCCCAGCGGGGTCGCGCTGTCTCTCGAGGGAGATCAGACGCGAGTTCGAGCAATGCTCGTGTGTGAGTAAGCCCAGCGCAGCACTGAGAGGGAGGGAGAGCATGCAGAAGCCAATTTTGCCGCAAGGCAGATCTGTTGGTGAGGTAAGGACAGGTGTTGGCGAAGGAGGAGGTTCATGTGGCCGTGATGACGCCAACACAGGTTCATGCCAGCCAAGGCTGGGCCAACCAGTCCGCCTGGAGTGTGATCCAGTCATGGCGGTGCGGTAGCCATCATCTTGTTGGTCACTTGGAGGCAGCGGGCAGTTCCACGGGCATGATGTATTGTAACGAAATTTTTGAAGAAAGAATTGAAGGCCAGCCACTTGTCTGCGGCGCCGAACATGCTTAGGATGACGCAGCCGACGAATCAGGCTCAGTCCCGGAGCCACGTAAGGCGATTTTCCACCGTGGATCAATGAGCGGAAGAGCCAGCGTATAGCATCGTGTGGAGCGTCGCACACACCAGCTTTCAGAAGATAAGGATCATATAGTTGATTCCTGCATGGGTTAGGAAGGGAAACGGACTCACCAGATGATCGGCCCGTGAAAGAAATTACAGCCACCACCGTTGTGTTCCCCGGGAGCAGGTTGTGAGCATAGACGTCATGCAAGCTTCCAAGAGTTGTCAAGGTTCCAGAAGCAATCCTGCAACAGCCACGCGTGAGAAGTAGACACAGGACGAAACTTACCGTGAAGCAGTTGCTGAAGGTCGGTTGGAAGGCGATGGATCCTCTTGCCTGGAGCAGTGTTCGGTAGTTTGAAAGTCCAAACTGTTGAGGTTGCCAGGGCGGAGAGCTCCGGGAAACCATTGTGCATTGGTGCTTCTCGAGAGGAACAAACAAGAACCAAGAACCGATCGCACGAAAGGCGACCGGTTCCTGCATACAGAGGAAGTGCGACTGGGCAACATCATCCAACGGACCAGGACAGGTGCTCGGGAACTAACGGAAGCAGAGGTGCTGCAAAAATACCCTACCTCAGAGTATCCTGGGGGTCGCAGCCTGCTTAAAGCAATCTACAAGGCAATCCCAGACGAATGTGTCAAAACATATGCATATCATTATCTAGACTATATTGGGGATAGCCTTAGGGGGTACAGAAACTTTCTCGACACTCTAGTCTTGTACCCAAACCTTTACCTAATCTCATCATCCTTGCCTTAGTTCTTAACATGGTAACTAGAGCAGGAGGTCTCTAGGACCTAAGAATCGGGCCCACCTAACCGCTTGCACAGGCCTTGCACACTTTTACACTTGACTCTGGTGCTTCCCGCTGATTCTTTCGCGACAGTACCACAGTCACTCCCCTCCCTGCACCTGTTCCTGTCTCACTGGCTGACCCCTCTGGGGGCCCAGTGCTTGCACGGTCTTCCACTGTGCTTCCGTGTCCGGCGGTCCCGTCTGGTGAGCTATCTGGTCTCCACCTCCCCTCGTTCTCTACGAACTTGGTGAGCAACGCTGTCCTCCAGGATGCGGGGGTTGACACCTTCACACCTGGCCGGCAGCGTGTGGCAATTTGCACGTGCTCCCAGACCGGCCGCCACCTGGCCACGTTCACCCGTGCACCAGGGTCCAGTCTGTACACCCTCACCACTGCGTCGCGCTCCACCCCTTTGTCTCCCCAGCTGCACGCGTCTGCTCAGGTAGCTACCCAGTGTGAGTGTCGCCGGCTGTCGCACGACACTCTCCTGTGGCACCACCGCCTTGGTCACCCTCCCTGCCTCGCCTGCGTAGCATGCACTCTCGCTTCCTGGTCTCTGGTCTTCCCAGGTCTCTGCCTGCCCTCCCTCCCTCGCCTGCGCCGCCCTGCATTCCTTGTGTCGAGGGGCGGCAGCGCGCCGCTCCTCACTCCTCCTCGTTCCCTCCCACAGAGGCTCCCCTACAGACTCTCCACCTGGACGTGTGGGGCCCAGCCCGCGTCCGTGGACAGGGCCACGAGCGGTACTTCCTGCTGGTAGTCGACGACTACACGCGTTACACCACGGTCTTCCCCTTGCAGCGCAAGGGGGATGTCCTTGATGTTTTGATCCACTGGATCCGCGCTACTCGTCTCCAGCTCCGCGAGCGGTTCCAGTCGGACTTTCCTGTCCTGCGTCTGCACTCTGACAGAGGTGGTGAGTTCTCCTCAGGCCTCTTGGCGGCCTTCTGTGCGGAGCACGGCATCCGCCAGACGTTCACGCTTCCGGCCTCTCCGCAGCAGAATGGGGTTGCTGAGCGTGGCATTGGCTTGGTCATGGAGGTCGCTCGTACCTCCATGATCCATGCGGCTGCCCCCCATTTTCTGTGGCCGTTTGCGGTCCTGTACGCCGCGCATCAGCTCAACCTCTGGCCCCGTGTCTCCTTGCCGGAGACCTCGCCCACACTGCTGTGGACGGGGAAGGTTGGCGACGCGTCGCGTTTCCGGGTCTGGGGTGCTCGTGCCTTTGTCCGCGATACCACTGCGGACAAACTCTCCCCTCGCGCCATTCCTTGCGTCTTCCTTGGCTTTGTCCCTGACGCGCCTGGCTGGCAGTTTTACGACCCCGCCTCGCGCCGTGTCTTTGCGTCTCAGGACGTCACCTTTGACGAGTCGGTCCCCTTTTACCACCTCTTCCCCTACCGCAGTGCTCCTCGCCCCCTCGCGCCGCTCTTTCTCACCCCAGGTCCTCCCCAGGTAGACCCCCTCCCAGCGCCAGGCCCTGCTCCTTCAGGTGTTTCTCAGGTAGACCCTCCCGTCCCTGCGCCTGTTGAGGTCACTGGTGACTCCGGTTCTGCTGGGAGTAGTGTTGTCCCTGGGGGTGCGGAGCGTGGGGGTGCGCAGCGTGGGGGTGCTGAGTCTGGGGGTGCTGGAGGTGCTGAGCCTACGCGTGAGGAGCCTGGAGGTCCTGAGCCTGGGGGTGCTGCGTCTGGGGGTGCTGCCCCTGGGGGTGCTGCGTCTGGGGGTACTGCGCCTCCGTGTGCGGAGCCTGGGGGTGCTGAGTCTGGGGGTGAGTCGCCTGAGGGTTCTGAGACTGCTGTTACGCGGTCTCCTTGGAGTAGCCGTCTTCGTCCGCGTGTGCCTCTCACCTCCCAGCAGCTGCACGACTGGTACGGTCGCCGTCAGCGTCGCGCTTCTGCACCTCAGGGCTCTACTGCTGGGGGTTCTTCTACTGGCGTCACTGGAGCTGGGAGTGGTGCTGGTCCTTTGCCTGCTGGAGGTGTTGGTGTCGCTGGTCCCGGAGGTGCTCGTACTGGGGGTACTGGAGCTGCTGGGGCTGGCGGTGGTGTGTCTGAGGGTACTGCTGCTGGAGTCACTGCGGTTGGAGACCCTGGGACTGGAGGTGCCAGTTCTGGGGGTGCTGCACCAGGAGGGGCTGGACCTGCTGGAGGTGCTGGAGCTGCTGAGGGTGCTGGAGCTGCTGGAGGTGCTGGAGCTGCTGAGGGTGCTGGAGCTGCTGGTGCTGGTGGCACTGCACAGCCGCGCCTGTTCTTTGCTCCGCCGTCTCCGTCCTCTCTGCCACCGCCTGACTCCGTACATCGCCAGGTTCTTAGCCTCCCGTCGTCTACTGGTCTTCCGTTACAGCCTGGCTCACCTCTGCCTGCTCCTTCTCCTTACGCTGAGCAGACAGGGGGGCATACTGAGCGTCGTGAGCCTGCGTCGCGTCTTGTCTCACCTGTCCGTTCTGGTCCTTCAGGTCGTCGTGTTCCTCGTCAGCGTCAGCCGGCTGTCCCTGGCCCTTCCCTTGTAGTCCGTCGTCCTTCCTCTCCTCCGCAGAGTGTTCCTCTGCCGCCTCCTCCTGCGTCTTCTCTGCCTGTCGTTGCGGACCCTGAGTCTGACCAGTTTCGTACTGAGCACACTACTGTCACGCGTCTGCTAGCCACTGCTGTCACTGACCCGTCGTTTGAGTCCACTGCTGCGTCTGCCCTAATCGCTGAGCTTGTCGACTTTGCTGCTGCCTGTCGTCTAGACTACGCTGCTAGTCTTGTTGCTGAGTCTGAGTCTGTCTGTCCTCCGTCCGTCGGGGGTGAGTGTGCTCTTAGCACGGACGTCCTTGAGGACAGGCACGAGGGCCTTGAGTGTCTTGCGGCCGCCGCGCCTCATCTCGTGGCCATGCTGCTTGCCCCTGAGGGAGACCCGGATGCACCAGACATCCCCACCCCGCGCTCTTACGCTGAGGCGATCGCGGGTGAGTACTACTCTCAGTGGCAGACAGCCATGGACGCAGAGATGGCATCCTGGAAGTCCACAGGCACGTACGTCGACGAGGTTCCCCCTCCTGGGGCGAACATCGTCAGTGGCATGTGGATCTTCAGGGTGAAGCGGCCGCCAGGTTCTCCGCCTGTCTTCAAGGCTCGTTACGTTGCTCGAGGTTTCAGTCAGCGAGAGGGAGTTGACTTCTTCCAGACTTTCTCCCCCACCCCGAAGATGACCACTCTTCGGGTGCTGCTGCACGTTGCCGCTCAGCGTGACTACGAGCTTCACTCTCTTGACTTCAGCACAGCTTTCTTACAGGGCAGCCTACACGAGGAGATCTGGCTTCGCCGCCCACCCAGCTTCACTGGGTCGTTCCCTCCTGGTACCCAGTGGAGCCTCCGGCGGCCGGTCTACGGTCTCCGCCAGGCACCACGTGAGTGGCACGACACACTGAGGACAACACTTGCGGCTCTTGGGTTTGCTCCTTCGACTGCTGACCCGTCGCTGTTTCTGCGCACCGACACTTCGCTGCCGCCGTTCTATATCCTCGTGTACGTCGACGACTTGGTCTTTGCCACTGCTGACACTGAGGCTCTTGCCCTGGTGAAGT